GGAGCAGCTTAAGAGCCGCTCGCCCAGCGCTGCGGCCCACTAGGAAACATCCCCTTACAGGCCCGCTTCCTAGGCAAATGCTGATTCGCCTAATAGTTGTGCCGGCCCTGCTCAAAGTACACAACTTACCTAGATGGTGAAAAGACCCAAAATGTGATCCAATTGTTATTAAAGAGCACCCTCCCACTGCTCATGGGTAGGGACTAGGGGTACAAAAGGATGCCCCCCACTTTAATAAAACACCCTGCCAACCATCAACGGGAGGGACTTAAGCAAGTACCTACATGTTTATTTTTATACAGTTACATAGAAACATAGAATATGATGGCAGATAAGAACCATTTGGCCCATCTAGTCTGCCCAATTTTCTAAATACTTTCATTAGTCCGTGGCCTTATCTTATAGCTAGGATAGCCTTATGCCTATCCCACGCATGCTTAAACTCCCTCACTGTGTTAACCTCTGCCACTTCAGCTGGAACATTAACCCTGTTACATATCTTAGTATCATCAGCAAAAATCATACCTTACCATCAAGACCTGCTACAATATCACTAATAAAAATATTAAAGAGAATAGGTCCAAGTAGGTTCCAGCCTCATGCTAATAATTATGGTGAACAAGAGGACTTGTGCCAGGTCACTCACAGAATTTTACAGCATCTCCAAGTTGCTGTCAGGTTGCTAGGTTTTAATTACAGTAGACAGACCACTGAGCAGCATGGTGGGTGGGATCATGAGGGAGGCATTTTGCCTACCTTTTACTAATATGGGTTGTATATTGTTCCCACAAAGTTATTTTTTTTTCAGAAAAAAGGCTGGCTACTATACAAGATAGTAATCATAAATCCAGGAGCTTACTTAGTATAATATATAAAAAGAGGGAGAACAAATTAAATAAATTGTATCTGTCAAAGAGTTAACTGAGTTGGTGAATATAACAAAAAAAAAATGTATCTATCAGAAGGATACAATAGCTAAATGGTTAAATCGCTCACAAAGTGTCCGTTGACTGCTTACAGTCAAATGATATACAAAATGAAAAAAGCTCGGTACAACAGAGCTAGTGCAAATAAGCAATATAGATATATCGCTAAAAACAACTGTAGATATTAAAATATTATTTATTGAAGATTAAAAATCGATATAAAATGATATAAAATGAATAGCATGTCCACAATCTAAATGCCAGTCAATTTCGGGTAAAATTTGCAAGACCACCTTAGTATAAAGTATGGATGGATCCGGATGATGTGTGTGATCCTCTTGCCCAGATCCTGATCGCCTGTGAGGACGGCGTGCGTTCCAAAGTGCGTTCCGCCTCGAGCCTCACTTCGGGGGAACAGCACTGTTCTTGCGGCGGTGTTAGTTATGCGCCTAGGATCCGGGATAGGTGAGTTCTTCTGCAGAGATACCCTGGCTGGATAGAGTTCGTGTGGATGTGCCTTCTTGCTGTTCTAGCTGTCTAACGCGTTTCGTAGAGGATAGCTCTACTTCATCAGAGACGGATAAAGCACCCTCTACATGGGGGTGTTTAAATACCTCACAGTTGTTAATTGAAAAATTGAAAAACTTGAAAAATTACTTGAAAAAATATATATACTTATTCGATATAATATATACATATCCAAAACAAGATTGCTCCATATGAATTTATATAATACAATAAAATAAAACGAAATAAATAATTTATACCATTCTTTCATTTGTTGTGTCTTATTACTTATACATAATTGGTATGAATATAATTGACATCAAAAGGGGTTGATATCAGAAGTATGTATTTTGTGACGTTTTACTTCTTATATATGATCAGTTTAGCATAAGCATAAATGCAATCGTTAAAAAAGAAGAATACAATAGTTAAAAGAGGATGAAAACAAAAAATAAATAGAAACGAAATATACTAAAATAAAATACATTAGACATTCTATGGTAATTAGGACAGAAAGCTTGTCATACGTCTACATTATATAAACATTTGGAAGGAGTCTTGTATCCTGAAACGAGACATAATTGTTAATACAGAGAACCATTAACATAGTTTGTGTGCAAAAAATGAGTTTCTGTTCGAGAAGTAAGTTTGAAATTAGTTGCTTGAGAGAACATAGAAAGCACCAATTAATTAGAGGTTCAGTAGTGTACCTTAGAGAGAGTTATATATCAGAAAAACTCATGAGAATTACATAAATCAGAAGATCTATATTGGAGATAATATCGATTGGAAAGTATAAAAAAAAAAAAATTTAAAAAATATAAAAATATAAAACACTATAAAAAAAAATCTATAATATAACCCTAAAAGACTCTGTACAAACAATATAAAAGTTTGAATGTGTAAGACAGGTCCTAGGGGAGCTTATTGTAAAATTCTTCTTAAATTTGCATAATAGGGACAAATAATATATTGACAAAAATGAATATAGACAAAAATGAATAATGATGATGAAAATGAAGATACGTGAATATAGGAACGTAAAAAGCCCTTGACGGCCAAAAGGGGCAAATATCGTCTAACTCAAAAATTCTGGATCACAAATAAAAGGAAATATGTGAAAAAAAGAAGAAGTGTAAAATGTAAAATATCAAAAATGTCAAGAATGCAGAAAATGTAAAAAATAAATAGATAAATAGTAATAAAAAAATAAAAAATTAATAAAATAAAAATAAAAATAAAAATAGAAATAGAAATAAAAATAAAAACCTAAAATGAAGTGCTACTGAAAAGAGATCATAAAAAGCGATCATAAAAAAGCATTAAGCTCAAAATCTACATTGAGGCCATGGGGGACCAGAGTGTTAAGGGTAAAAATCCATTTCGCCTCAGTTTGGTCTAGATTGGTGTCTATACTCCCCCCTCTCCAGTGAACATTAACTTTTTCAATGGAAAAAAATACCAATCCTGCTGGGTCAGCTCCATGCGTTTCTTTAAAATGTTTAGAGAGGTTATGGGTTATCAGACCTTTCTTGATATTGCGTATGTGCTCCGCTATTCTCACTTTTAGGGGTCTCTTAGTGCGTCCTATGTATTGTTTTTTACATGGACACATGATGAGGTATATAACACCTGAAGTGTTACAATTCATCCCAGTTTTTATCTGGTATTCTTTTTTATCGTTTAGTGATGTAAATTTAGTTCTTTTATTTTCCATCTTGGGGTTGTTCTTACACCCAGCACATTTCTGGCATCTCACGAAACCTCTCATGTCTGTGTTCTTTCTTCTTGTAACTTCAGACCTTGTCGTGGGGGCTAACAGCAGTTTGAGATTGGGAGCTCTTGTGAATATAATTTGTGGCTTTTCTTCAATAAATTGTATTAGACTTGGATCACTCCTTAATATTCCCCAATATTTCTTCAAATTTTTTTGGATGGTTTGTGATTGATTACTATATTTAGTAATAAATGCCGGAGTATTATTGGATAATTTCGTTGGTCTAGTTTTCTTCTGTAGGGTGTCTTCACGTGGTATGGTCAGTGTTTTTTCTAAGGCCTCCCCCAATAGTGTCTCGGGATAACCTTTTTGGATGAATCTCTCTTTCATTTCTTCTAGTTGTTCCTTACATGTCTCCAATTTTGAACAGTTGCGTCTAATCCTCCTAAACTGGTTTTGGGGAATATTTCTTAGCCATGCTGGTTTGTGGTGGCTGTCAAACGGGATGAAGCTGTTACAGTCCACATTTTTCTTGAACGTCTTGGTATGTATTTCATTTTCTTCCACATATATATTCAAATCTAGGAATTCAATTTTTTCTTTGGATTGTGCAAAAGTGAACTTGAGTTGGTACGGGTTGTTGTTCAAGTATGTTTTGAATTCTTCTAGAGAGTCTTGGTCACCTTTCCATATAAAGAAACAGTCATCAATGTATCTCCGCCACAGGAACAGTTTTGCGCCAAATGGGCAGTGGTTCCATATAAATTCATCTTCCCACTTCCCCATGAAGAGATTAGCGTAACTTGGCGCAAAACGTGTTCCCATGGCGTTACCCTCTATCTGTAGGTAGAACAGGCCTTCTGACCAAAAGTAGTTGTGTGTTAGGATGAATGCTATGCATTGTATTAGGAAATCTATCTGGTCGTTCCTTAGCTCAGAATATACTGCAAGGGAATATTGGATGGCTTCACAGCCCTGTAGGTGCTCGATGACCGTGTATAACGAGGTTACGTCGGCCGTAACCAAGATCATGTCGTCCTCCCATTTGAAGTCTGATAATTGATTAAGAATCTGTGTGGAATCTCTGAGATATGATCTGAGACGTGTGACTAGACCTTGTAGGAAGTGGTCTACATATTCTGATACATTAGATGTGAGAGACCCAATCCCAGAAATGATTGGTCTTCCAGGAGGTTTTTGTAGTTTCTTGTGTATTTTGGGTAAATGATAGAACACTGGAACTCTTGGAAATTTTATGCACATGTATTTGAATTCTCTCTCATTGATGATTCCCCTCTCTTTGCCGTATTCTAATAGTTCTCTCATTTCTTCCATATATTGTAAAGTAGGATCTTTTAAAATTATTTGATAGGTTGAGACGTCTCCCAGTAGTCTGAGGTTTTCTTCTAGATAGTCTTTCGTGTCCAAGATGACTACTCCACCACCTTTGTCCGCTGGCTTTATAGTTATTTCTTCTGACTTCATAAGTTCTTTCATTGATTTTCTTTCTTTCTTATTAAGATTGTCCCTTGTTATTTTATTAGTTAGTTTAGTTCTAAAATCTTTTTCCACCATTTTTTCAAATGTTCTTATAGAATCTGTTTTTACATACTGTGGATAAAAGGTAGATCTCGGATGTAGTTCCGTCTGTGTGTATTCTTGCTCTTCCTTTTGAGTAGTAAAGTCTTTCTCCATAAAGAATTTTCTGACACATACTTTCCGTATGAATTTGTGTAGGTCAATAAAAGCATTAAAATTGGAGTTCATTGAGTTAGGTGCAAATTTCAGACCTTTCTGTAAAAGGGATAATTCTTCTGTATTTAGGATTCGACTTGATAGATTAAAAATGTTTACTTCTTCCTTTTCTGTGATATTAGGTCTTCTATTTGTTCTATGCCTTCTTCTATGTCTCTTAGTGTTCGCTTTCTTCGCAATTGTGGTAAAGGGAAGTCTTCCATTGAGAATCTCCTGGGGGGTACTCTCCCCCTTTTCTCTAAAAAATCATTCTCTGTATTGATGTTGTATTGTGGTTCTTCAGTTGCTAAATTAGGAACTGATGGAGGTAGTCTATCTTGAGATATGGTTCTTTTATGTTCCACGGTTGTGGTGGTTGTGTTCATTTTGATAGGAGACTGTGCATGGACATTCCTCTCATTATATGTTCTTGGAGTATGTATCACTTCAGTCCGTATGGTGGAGTTGTTGGTTCTCCTCTTATCTTGATGATATGTTGTATCCCTTTTGGTATTGTGGTACCTTTCATTTGAGTTATCAAATCTTTTTTGGTGGGTATTTCCATTTTGATAGTTGGTATAGCCTGTGTTCCTCTGTGTGTTTCTTTGTTGGTATCTATTATTCGGGTTGTCATATCTTCTTTGGTATGTTGGTCTGCTATCTGTATGGTATTGTTGGTATGTTCTCTTTGGTGTTTGATGGAAAGTGAGAGCATCTTTATATGTCTTATGTTGCTGTGGCTTGAATTTCGGTCTTCTTATCTCCCGTATGGGTGATTGATAACGTGGTTTATTTTCACTCTTCCAGTTTCTTTGGATTTGTGCTTTATAATCTGCTTGGTCTCTTAAGATTTTCTTTCTTTTTGTTTCTCTGATATTTTCTTCTAGATCTTTTATCCTCCTTTCCATTTTTTCTAGAAGTTCAGCATATTCTCCACTTTCCACTAGGGGGCGGATTTGTGCCTTCATTTCCGAAATTTCTTTATCTATAAGTTCAAGGTCTTTCTTTTTTTCGTTGATCAAGAATACCATTAGTAATAGAGAGCCTTTGTCTAGGAGTTGGTCCCATTTTTTAAGTGTACTTGGATCATGCCTTTTATATGCTAGTCTTTTAAATAGTCTCAGACCTCTAGGAATAATATTATTATTAACATAAAAGTCTAATGCTGTAATATCCCACCATACATGGACCTCTTTTTCCATAATCTTGTTTAGTGAGTATATTAGAGATCTAACATCATTTGTCAATACATGCTGTTTAGGGATTGGTATATCGTTTAGTAGATCGTCCTCCTTAAGGGACCATGCTTTTGCAAATTGCTGTCTATCTGATCTAACAGAATCAATATTTCTACTAAGTGTCATCGTCTGACTCTAAAACCTCTAGTGGTGAAATTGGGAAGTATAGGAAACAAAAACTGCTAACTAAAATAAATTTTTATTTTTATTTTATTAATTTTTTATTTTTTTATTACTATTTATCTATTTATTTTTTACATTTTCTGCATTCTTGACATTTTTGATATTTTACATTTTACACTTCTTCTTTTTTTCACATATTTCCTTTTATTTGTGATCCAGAATTTTTGAGTTAGACGATATTTGCCCCTTTTGGCAGTCAAGGGCTTTTTACGTTCCTATATTCACGTATCTTCATTTTCATCATCATTATTCATTTTTGTCTATATTCATTTTTGTCAATATATTATTTGTCCCTATTATGCAAATTTAAGAAGAATTTTACAATAAGCTCCCCTAGGACCTGTCTTACACATTCAAACTTTTATATTGTTTGTACAGAGTCTTTTAGGGTTATATTATAGATTTTTTTTTATAGTGTTTTATATTTTTATATTTTTTAAATTTTTTTTTTTTTATACTTTCCAATCGATATTATCTCCAATATAGATCTTCTGATTTATGTAATTCTCATGAGTTTTTCTGATATATAACTCTCTCTAAGGTACACTACTGAACCTCTAATTAATTGGTGCTTTCTATGTTCTCTCAAGCAACTAATTTCAAACTTACTTCTCGAACAGAAACTCATTTTTTGCACACAAACTATGTTAATGGTTCTCTGTATTAACAATTATGTCTCGTTTCAGGATACAAGACTCCTTCCAAATGTTTATATAATGTAGACGTATGACAAGCTTTCTGTCCTAATTACCATAGAATGTCTAATGTATTTTATTTTAGTATATTTCGTTTCTATTTATTTTTTGTTTTCATCCTCTTTTAACTATTGTATTCTTCTTTTTTAACGATTGCATTTATGCTTATGCTAAACTGATCATATATAAGAAGTAAAACGTCACAAAATACATACTTCTGATATCAACCCCTTTTGATGTCAATTATATTCATACCAATTATGTATAAGTAATAAGACACAACAAATGAAAGAATGGTATAAATTATTTATTTCGTTTTATTTTATTGTATTATATAAATTCATATGGAGCAATCTTGTTTTGGATATGTATATATTATATCGAATAAGTATATATATTTTTTCAAGTAATTTTTCAAGTTTTTTAATTTTTCAATTAACAACTGTGAGGTATTTAAACACCCCCATGTAGAGGGTGCTTTATCCGTCTCTGATGAAGTAGAGCTATCCTCTACGAAACGCGTTAGACAGCTAGAACAGCAAGAAGGCACATCCACACGAACTCTATCCAGCCAGGGTATCTCTGCAGAAGAACTCACCTATCCCGGATCCTAGGCGCATAACTAACACCGCCGCAAGAACAGTGCTGTTCCCCCGAAGTGAGGCTCGAGGCGGAACGCACTGTGGAACGCACGCCGTCCTCACAGGCGATCAGGATCTGGGCAAGAGGATCACACACATCATCCGGATCCATCCATACTTTATACTAAGGTGGTCTTGCAAATTTTACCCGAAATTGACTGGCATTTAGATTGTGGACATGCTATTCATTTTATATCATTTTATATCGATTTTTAATCTTCAATAAATAATATTTTAATATCTACAGTTGTTTTTAGCGATATATTTATATTGCTTATTCACACTAGCTTTGTTGTACCGAGCTTTTTTCATTTTGTATATCATTTGACTGTAAGCAGTCAACGGACACTTTGTGAGCGATTTAACCATTTAGCTATTGTATCCTTCTGATAGATACATTTATTTTTTTTTTGTTATATTCACCAACTCAGTTAACTCTTTGACAGATACAATTTATTTAATTTGTTCTCCCTCTTTTTATATATTATACTAAGTAAGCTCCTGGATTTATGATTACTATCTTGTATAGTAGCCAGCCTTTTTTCTATACTCTCTTATAGGTTTTTGGTGGATTCCTATATCTTTCCAGTTTTAGAGCTTCTGTCTGATAGGCTGACTCCCTCTTTTCTGTTTTCTAATTTATTTTAGTTAGCAGTTTCTGTTTCCTTATTTTTTTTTTCAGTCTACCTGAATTACTTTGCATGTATAATACTGGAACAAACCAAAATGGTACATGGGTGGAATTTGGTCTGCCTGCACAATTTTTTTTTTTTTAACGAACAGCTGAAGTTCTTTGTTTGGGGAAATGAGGTTGAAAGTTTGCTGGATCTGCAAAAATATTGGCCTGATGAGCATAAATTAAAATATTGGCCTCAGAGGCCTTACTCGTTGGGTAAAAGATCAATGGCTTGTTATGTTTGATGATACCTGGCTTACAATCCAGTACAGTCTCTTAATCAACAATGGAAGAAAAACTATTCCTTTTGCTGATATACACATTCCTGTTGTCGTCTAAAATGGCTGAAACCCAAACATGAACTGTGGAGAGAGAGGAAATCTGGAGGTATGTCTATCATAGCTTGTACTGCACAGTTACTACTGAAGCTGGTTAAGGACAAACTGTACTATGTGCACAGCTAGCCTAGAAGACACTGCCAGAATACTTCACAGGCTTCAGCCCAAAATATATATTTAATAGCCCAACCTATATTTTACCTCCCCCCAATGTCTTGCCAAAATATCTGCCGTAAACCATTATGTATGTCTCCATAAATTCCCCATAATATCAACGTGCACAACTTGTAGTGAAAATGAGAAATTCTGTATTTAATCCTTTTCCATAAACAAACAGATAAGTCCTATCTATCTAGTAAATGGCACACAATGGAGCACACGCTCTTACTGGCTCACATACACAGTTACACATGATCAAACAATGCTACTAAAACAAATTCATACACTGTTGCACCTATACACAATCATACACTCACAGATACACACAGTTACATATATACACACGTACACTCAGATACACACAAACTGCTACACTTACTCACTTAAGCACAGATACACACAAACTGTTACACTTACTCATTTAATCACAAATGCACACACTTTTACACATATACACACCCATACACTCACATATACACATACACAGGCAGCTACACTTGTACACACTCATAGATACACCCAAACTATTACACATATAGTACTCACAAACACACATACACACACTGTAACACGTACACACAGATACACACACTATTACACATAAATTCTCTCTCTCACACACACACACACACACACCTTTGGCTACCTTTATTTCCCTGGTGGTCAAGTGTCATAGCTCCCAAGTGTCTCTATTTATTCTAATGTCCCTCTTTCTTAGAAGCTCCTTATTGTTGCTATATTTGAGTTAATAACAGAGCTCCACATCATTAATACTCCCAGTAACATGTCATTAAAATATATGTGTGTAGGTATCAGTCGGTGTAAACAAGATAATTTTTTATTGTTCTAAATTACCTTTTAGTTTAATATATTATTAGTAAGTCACCTAAAATTTCTCAAAACAGCCTAACTCCTGGTAACACCCTCCACTCACACCCATTTAAATTAAATTGTCCGTGTTTGTCCATTTTAAATGTTGGGAGGTGTGCAATGTATCTGCTCTGCACTTCCACCTGGTGCAGGCAGTGTAGGCTTCTCTTGTGAATTATGGTGTTCAAAGCACTGTCATGGTAACCTGCAGCAATGCTCTGAACAGCCAGAGCTCAGGGAAGCTACTCTGGTGGCAATGTTCCCAGTGGAGGTGCTCTCTGTCCTTCTCCCCATTAATTTCAGTAATTTGCTAATAATTGAAGTGACCCTTGAGTCCCCTGTTCTGGCCAGACACTTATGGCTGCCAGAAATACATGGCTATATTTAGACTCATGGCTTTTCAGGCACTCACTCTGGGCACTAGCCCAGTTCTGCCCCCCTCTGCAGGGTCCTCCTAACTACTGTGCGGGACAGGAAAAAAGATTGGGGGTCACATGAATGAAGACTTCCTATATAGTTTTGTTCTTTTCCCTGCCCTGTCTGATGTGAGTAGATGGAGCTTCACAATTGTATACGCTGCCATGCTTGGCCAGGAAAAGATGTTATCTGAAGATTTGTCTATTAAGTGTCTTTTGCAAAGGAAAGTGAGCATGCTTAACGTAATGAATTTGGATTGTATCAAATCCTCCCTGAGCTCCTACAATATTCTGCTGCTACCTTGTCTTTAGCAGAATGATCATTTATCATTCCACCTGCAACAGTAATTACAGTTCTTGCAGTAAGTCAATATGATAAACCGTGCATGGTATCCAATAAATAATAAGTGTGCTTTTTTATTGCCTCAAAAAGTGCCAGATTTCCATGTAATAATTATTGGCAAATTAAATATTCAAATAATATGGAAAAGTGCAAGCAGATAAAGTATAATCCAGGTGCTCCTGTGCAATGAGATTATTGCAAATACCTCACATGTTTTATTCACACAGCTTTAACCTCAGGCTACATACATAATTATGAGTCGCACATGTAATAAACTCCCTAGATTGAAGGCCAGGAACAGTGGAAATAGGGATGAACCGTGTTACTGTGCAAGGGATTAACTTGCGTTGCTGAACTCCAAAGGGGTTTTCAATTATAGCAAAAGAAAAAAGGTACAAGAAAAGAAAGA